TCCATCTCGCCAATGAGAATCTCCCTTTCTTTCAAAAGATTCTCCGTTTTCTTGCTAACTGTGATGCTATAATTAATAGTTTAGTAAAACTTTAAGTAGAAAAATTTTGGAATAATCAAAATGTTAATCAAAAAACCATTTTTAAAAAATTTTTTTAAATTTTTTTAAAAATTTTTATATAAAGTTTTTCCATTTGGAATGATCAACATGTCAATCAGAAAACAATTCTTTAAAAGTTTTTTATATATATATTGTAATGTATAAGAAATGAGGTAAAACATACGATTAAATAATCTTTTTTACAAATTAAAAAAGATGCTAAGTGTACGCGTTTATATGTGTGCTATTGAAGAAAAAAATGATTTTCTGTTTAAAACCTGTTCCAAATTTTTTTTTAAACTATCCAAGTAATAATAATTTTTCTCAAAAAATATGTAAAATCTTTAAATTGTGCCAATTATAATTAGAAAATACACTTCATTGAAACACTAATATGATATTTTTGTACAATAAAACACTGGTAGTAGCATAATTACTTCTAAACAATAAAACTTCTACTTATAATTCTTCTTAAAAAATAATTAAATCATTTTAATATAAAGATTATGCGTATCGCGGGTTTCCTCCCTGTCCAGATCTATTCTTGAAATGCCAACATTTCGTGAACCTTGCAGTCCACTTCATCAGGGCGAGGAGTAGTTCGATACTAAGCTATTCTTTCCGGCCGTTCCTTTTATATTACGCTACTTGTTGGAGTGGCGGGGGGAAAGATGAAAATTATGGGTGGGGAGGGGGGGAGATTGAGGAAATTAATCTTCAATAACGGAGAATGGTTTTCTATATTTTATTTATGTTGTAGCTATTATCTCTATTTAAATTGTTAGGATGTTTTTGTATCTCTATAGCTTCTCTATACTTTCTTGGAAAGTATGATATAATGTTGGCTATTATGGTCGTTTTGTCAAACAGTATTTAATGTCCTGTTTCGATGTTTCCAAAACCAAACACCCTCCACTAAACAAGAGCGATTGGCCCTCCAAGAGCTGAACAGGGACACAGACATCATCGTGCTTCCAGCCGACAAA